CCCTGCTACACGAAGAAAGCCAAAATTTCGGGGCCAGGCAATATAAATCTCGATTCGCGCGCTCCTACTCAAAACTACGCGACAGAAAATCAGGGAATAGAAAATTAGGGGACCCGGCGCAACAAAGTGAAGTCGCTCCTGTGTCCGCTCGAGGAATCTCGCGGCCTCCCGGGAAGCCAACCTACAGCCCGATTTTCTTCCGCCGTTAGTCCCACAAGGGAAAACCGCAAGATTGCTCGCGTGAGACTTCTGGAAGACCGACTACGCGGTACGCTTCCGCTCACCGGCGCGACACTATCCAGGTCAAACAGCTTCACAAAAACCACCCGGAGACTCTAGCTAAGGTCCCGACAACGGGAATCTTCGACCGGGGACGTGGAACTTACTAGTAGATAGACAATTCACCGCCGTTCGCCGGCCCCTCGGCTTAAGTTCCTCGATGAGCCAAGAAGGTTTTGAAGTCCTTGGAGACGGTAGACAATTTCAGACAATTCACAGTTTGAAAGAAACTATTTGAGACGTTGATCCGATCGGTCCGACGGTCGAAAGCAGAGAAGACCGGAGCTCTCCGTGGGCTGTTCTAAGTAAAGATTCGACTGGCCAGCCAGAATCCTAACCGGCGCCGTTAATTCGTCGAGATGCTCCTTAATACCTTGATTTTGGCGGACTCGGCGTGTGCTGGCCCAGTTCCTGGGGCCGGGGGTTGCGGTGGTGCGGTGGCGCGGTTGCGTCGGCGCGGTTGCTGGGCAACAGCGCGAGCCCCGCGCGCGTCGAGCCACCAGTAATACCACAGCCGTAGCGAGCGATGGCCCGTCGAGCCCCGGTCCGCCTGGATGTTCGCGGCGGCCGAAATTTTCCTCTCCGGGGGATCCCGGCTCACCCGGGGCAGATCATCAGATAGGCCCCAGGTACACAGGTGAGGATGTGATCAGACTCCTAGCCCGTAAGTCGATGATCCTTCCTGGGGCACGGCATCCCGTCCTCTTCCGGTCGGTGGCAGCCAGGGTCCTCTCGGGAGCTCCCGCCTCCTGGTCGGATAGTTCTTGGGCTCTTGCGGCCGGCCGTACTGGAGTCGCCAGGACCCGTCTACTGCCCGCCCCCGCAGGTAAGGCCACCAAAGTGTGTAGCGGGGCCGACACGTCTCTCCGGATGAGCCCGACGGGCTGGACGTGGTACCGCGGGCGGTGTTTTCAGTCCTGGTTCCTCGCTCAATGCAGCCTCCTTGATAGCTTCTCACTTGAAGTCGGAGCGACGAGCGGTAGCGCAGGCACGCGACCTCCGTGAGGTCGACGATGTTTATACTCCGGCCCGACGACCGGGGTCTCGCTACGAGTTACAGAAATTTGCAAGCTCTCGAACACTCCGCCAAATATTCATCGTAATATTCCTGCGAGTACTCGGGAGCGCGCCCGGGAACTCAAAAAATTCTGGGTGATTCCCTTACAGAAAATTTGGAGAGTTCGGACCTTGGATCCCGTAACATGCGACAAAGGCAACCATCGGCAAAAATTTGGGGAGTCGTGACGAACCCGGTATATAGCTATATTCAGCCTGCTTCCTGCTTCAACCTGCTTCAACAGGTTTTGAAACGTCGCCACCTCTACGACTGTGCCCGGTGGTCCGGCCGGATGAATAAACGGGAGGTAGGGATGTTCGATTTTCTTAAAGGAATAGATTCTTGAATTGATTTTGAATCGAATCATGAAGAATCCATTTTCTAAAAAATCGGAATCCAAAGAATCGATTCTGCAAGAATCGATTCAAAAAATTGTAATAAGTGTTATATAATTAACACAAATTTAATTAATCCATTTTTCTAGTCAAAATCCATCCACGTAACTGAAAAGAATTTCGAGGTTTTAATTGGCTCTTAAAAGTCAAACAGTCACTTATGACGGAAGTGCGTTACGACGATGACTTTCAGTACAGAAACAGCAATCAATGAGCGACAATTTTCCCGCTGATCCGGAAATCACAGCGCTGTCGTTTCTCCTTCCTTCGGCTTATGGTCACCGGAGTACCGGAACCCACAATTGTTACTTGTGGTACAGTCTACCTTTCAGAGAGGTCTAGGTAATGGACAGAGCTTCCGCGTCTCTGTCGGACTAACGAACAGTAACCGGACGCGGTCTTCTAGAGCGATATTTATTAGATGTGCTATCTCTGGAATTTTGGTCAGGAGGGGGTCCAAGACCCTATGTCTAGACGTCATGCGCTTCCGAGCATGATGATGGCGTTCTTCCTGACAGGTGGCGCAGCAGTTCGTGTCTTTTCTTAATGTTTCAGCACGCTCGACATATGGCGCTCCTTGGTGGTCTACCTAAGATTTATTCCGTTTCCCACTCTTATCATGTCACGTTATCGTGGCCTTGAATCCGATATTCGTCTTCCTGTCTCCGCCGAGATTTAAATTGGATTAATTCGTCTCTTTGTTTTGTTACGTGGCGGCCGAGGGGAATATTCGGGTTCCGCCTTAAAGAGGTCTTACCTCGTACGTCCACGTAACGATTAGATATTATTGGGAGGAGATGGCCCGAGCGGCTAGACCAAATCCTCTAGTGGGATTTATAGGAATGGGGAGCTAAGGATGGCCCAATAAATGGAGGTTATCAATAAATTGACGAGGATGAATATATTTGTCTTCTGTCTGATGGTGTTTCTACAAATCATGAGGGTCCGCGAGGGTACTCGTGTCTAATTCTTACAGTTCGGTTTCGATCCGCGTTGCGGAGCTTCGGGTGACGCGATACGGCGGTCAGTGGCAGTAGGTCACTGGACGCCTAATGTGCTAACATGGCGCTTCTCGTATTCAGAATTTGCGAGGTTAGCATGAGGCAAGATATTGAAATGTTTTGGAGATACAAAAGACAAACTATCCGGTTATCCGGAGCTAGGCATGGAATTCGGGTGTTTTTAATTACGATGAAAGATGAGGTTAGGATGGAAAAATGAAGGTGACCCGAGCTTGCGAAAGGGCCTGTACCTGCGCGTGAACACGTTCCGCCCGTGACGTGCCCTAAGGTTGGAGGTCTCCTCGGAACCTCCCATCCAACGGATGTAGTAATGCCACCGTCCCTTCCTGGATTGATGCTCTTGGATCGCCGGAGTACCGAGCAGCACAACTCTAGCTCGGGGTGCAAGTGATCCTCCTAGTTCGATGGTTTCGGTCTTAGACTTGCTAGGAACTGAGAGCCGAGAACCAAAGACTCCAAGCTCGTGGTCGATGACGATGATGGGTCCGTGAGACTCGCTGTGAGTCTGATCTTTCTTCTAACTGACTGCGACTAACTAACTAACTGTCCGACTGGGCGATTGTTGGTTTTGACGAATTTGGTACGGCGCTCCAATTGGTGGGGGTTCCATGATCTAGACGGGGGCGGTGGTTGCAGGGTTGTAGGATGTGTGCAGCGTCATCAGGATGCACTTGGGCCCGGTTGATCGCGGACCTGGTCCACTTGGGTCGATGGCGCGATCTTAGTCAGGTCGAATAAGACTTCCTTTCGCAAGCGTATGTCAAAATCGCGTGCTAATTTATGGAATTCCATGGCTACCTTTCGGTTTACCGGGTCGCGATTATTTCATTAAATTCATTACTCCGTGCAGCAATGGTGGGCCAAATACTAGATGTATATACATGCCCTTTGCAGCCGAAAGGTTAAATGTTAATCGCGTTTCCCGATCGAAGTTGGTAGTGTTTTCTATAAAACTTATTAAATATTAATTGCGTTTTCCATCTGAGTTTCCGACTGTGTTTTCTGCGAAACTATTGAATGTCAACTGTATTTTGTCTGAACTTGAAATTGTTATTTCCGTAAAATTGAATGAGCGTAAATGGCATGCGTTACCCTAACTATGAACTGGGTTTCTATGAAACCCCCTTAAATGTTGATCACGTTCCCATCTGAATCTGGAAATTTTATTTGTATCTTCGATAACTATTTCTAGCACTTTGACAAAAAATTCTCCGTGAATATCAAAATTGTACTTGGGATTTACATAATCCGTCACACCCTGACGGTACCTTCTACTTGATTTTTGAAATCTTATTTGTGTTTCTAGCCTGGCATCTTAAATATTGAACGTATCACCTGTTTGAATCCAAGAATTTTATCGCATACTTGATCAACTTGGCTAAATGTTGACTGTTTATTCCCACCTACTAGTAATAAAATACTATTATTCATCATAGTAATTGCGGTGTTATTTATTTTGACCATCAACTCTGTACGCCTCATTCCTTGGTCACATCATTGAATTCGTGACCAAAAATGGGTATATCCGCCTGCAGGTAAGCTAACCTGTGATATGAACTTTGTTGTTACCCTTGACGTAACAGTATGTACTGTGACGTGGCCGTCACACTTTTTAGAAAAAAAAAAAAAAAACGCGTTGCAGTACAAAAGAATAGATGTGTCCCAAATGAAACATACATTTTTTCATTTTATTTTATAGAAAGTAGTACGCATTAGAATGTATTTTGCCCATACTGTGGCGATGTTTTTACTGGACGAAATTTTGTTAGAGATTGAGTCTCCACGATTACCTCGCACACCTAGAGAAAAATCTTGTGTGCATGAACAAAAAGGTTCACAAATTAGAAAAAAGTGAACGCATGAACGGTCATATGCGCACAAATGGTCATACTGGACGCAACTTTAAATAGATTCTCGTGGTCTAGGGGTAAGGGAATACATTCTAAGTGAAATTTTCGCATTCAATACATAAATTGTGCATAATAGAAAGTATTCAGGAGATATGAAACATTTTCTCATGCCTTTGCATACGAAATTCTTGCTATGGATACCCCAGTACTCGGTTATTGGAGAACGGAACAATGTTTAGTTTTTGATATAAGGGTTAATATAAAAAAAACTAATTGAATATCTTTAATAGTTGCAAAAAATGTTTCACATTCATATTCGTAATTTCTTCATGTCTGCGGTTGTTAAATAATACGCTGCCATGATTCAATAATAATATTTTTCTCAATGTATTCTTACCTGGGAATATCCAATTTTGGATAATTTTTCTTCAATAATTTTGTTAGCGGTCATATCCTTTGTATCGTTTTCGACATCTTTAAGGTACGCTGCCATAGCTGCCTAAAATATAAATATATTCTTTGAATAATTACGTGTATACGGAATAAGGAATAATAAGTAATTGTGCATTACATTATTCGGTAATTCTCTATATGACTGACTGTATTAAATGACAAGTAGATATATAGTGCATTGCTCCCAGTGTTGCCAACGCATGCAGAAGAGAATTCGCTAGATGTCTTGTTAAATCCCGCAGAAAACCGTTAAATTAAAAAAAATCACTAAATTGATACATGGACAGTCAAAAATGAACAAATAAGTTTTTCTTATATATTATTTTACTTTGTGTACTAAACTTTAAATAACATTAAAAAAGGAACATTCAAAAAATAACTTTTAAAATAACAGCACTTTTAACAAAAACGTAAAACTTTAAAAAAATTACCCTATTATGATATAAGGATACAGACGACACAAAATTAAAAACTGAAATCTGTACCCACAATCTCTTCATTTTCAGCACCACTGTCATTATGGATACATGTTTCATTTGTTTTTAATTTATTTAAAATAATTTCAGTTACGTCCAAGTTGTAACAACATTTATTTACCCTTTTCAAATCAGAATGTACGGCAAGAAGTGCGTTAAGCATTTTTTATTTCATTCGATTACATAATTTTGTTTTTAATCACATTCCTTTGGCTAAATACGCATACAATATCAGCATTAGAATGCTGTAATGTAGGCGCTGATAAAGACAATTTTTCCACTAGATTTGTCTGAAATAGCTAGAATCCTCATCAGCCGGTAAATTGTCATTTTGTCTCATTAAACAGGTTTTAATAAAGCCAGATGCAATGGAAAATACGCTAAATTGGCAACACTGGATAAGAGTATGTGGCCGCGACTTGCCAGCCTCGGCGAGCGGGAGCGGGCAATTAGACTAGAAAAACGGATAAGAAAGCATTCGATGCGATGAAGAGACTAACAAATTACGAGGACGAGGATTGGAAGCAGAGACTGCGTCCACCAGGAGCACGCAGCGAAACAATGGATGCTCTGATTCGCATAACCTTTCCCGGTACCCACCCTTGCCCATTGGGTCCTGGCATGTTTCTGGAACCTGGCTCTTTCCCAATTTCCCTTCAGTCCCGCCTGCCAATCTCCACGGAAAAATATCACAGACAAGGATAGGCTAAATTATTTAGAACCCGGCTCCAGGAAAACGACAGTAGGCACAGATGTTCCCTCTGCACACAAAAAGGTCAGCCAGAACCCTTTGCGATAGTGTTTCGTAAATCCGTGACGTGAATACCCCGCACAATCGCAATTTGGAAACATATCCGCGGTCTTCCCAAACTATCTCTTAAACGGATCGCTAGTGAAAACGACGTCGCATGACCTATCCAGGTACCCACCCTTGCCCATTGGGTCCTGGCATGTTTCTGGAACCTGGCTCTTTCCTAATTTCCCTGCAACCCCGCCTGCCAATCTCCACGGAAAAATATCACAGACAAGGATAGGCTAAATTATTTAGAACTCGGCTCCAGGAAAACGACAGTAGGCACAGATGTTCCCTCTGCACACAAAAAGGTCAGCCAGAACCCTTTGCGATAGTGTTTCGTAGATCCGTGACGTGAATACCCCGCACAATCGCAATTTGGAAACATATCCGCGGTCTCCCCAACTATCTCTCAAACGGATCGCTGGTGAAAACGGCGTCGCATGACCTTTCCAAGTACCCACCCTTGCCCATTGGGTCCTGGCATGTTTTTGGAACCTGGCTCTTTCCCAATTTCCCTTTAACCCCGCCTGCCAATCTCCACGGAAAAATATCATAGACAAGGATAGGCTAAATTATTTAGAACTCGGCTCCAGGAAAACGACAGTAGGCACAGATGTTCCCTCTGCCCACAAAAAGGTCAGCCAGAACCCTTTGCGATAGCGTTTCGTAGATCCGTGACGTGAATACCCCGCACAATCGCAATTTGGAAACATATCCGCAGTCTCCCCAAACTATCTCTTAAACGGATCGCTGGTGAAAACGGCGTCTTCCGTGGATGTCAGTTGTTTAATGTAAAATAGAACCGTGAATTTGGCAGAGATAGATTCAAAGCCCAAGAATAATTCGAAATCCAGTAGGAATACTTTAATTCGTCGTAAAATTCTGATTTCATGTTTGAGAATTTGAAAATATTTCTGTAAAGTGCAACAACTATAAGCAAACAAGCACCTGGTTATCCGATTACAAGATTTTCTAGAGCACATATCGAAACAGCTTCGTGCGATGCGACGAATACAGGCTCCTAAGTACTGCGAGTTACGAGTGTAAAAGTGAGACCAAGTTACTCGTACAAAAATACTAATCGCGCCTTATTTGTTTTTTCGAGAAATCGTTATTCGAATTATTTTAGTCTTCACCTCGCCATTGACTCGACTCGTCGCGCCGATTGTACGCGGCATCGAGTCGTCGACTCCAGTTGGCAATGTTGGAGTAATTCGAGTCGTTTTACTCACCAATTCGCCATAGATTCTACTCTCCGCGTCGAATGTATGCAGCACCGAGTTATCAACTTGAGTTCAAACACGAGTTAGCAATGCTTTCGAATTTAAGTACCTCGAATTGGTAAAGTATTCGACTTGTAACATTATTACTCCTAAGCGATATAATTTTGAGCCACGCTTTTCGCATTCAATAGTAAAGTTTCATGTCAAGTCACTTTCAATCGGCGTGCACCCAAGGCACGAATCCACGGAAGAGCGATGCGCGGCACAAGCTACTACCGTTACAACAGACGCATACGTGTTTGACATCTGAAGACAGCAAAATACAATATTCTATACATTTCTATACATTATTCAAATCATTGCCAAAGTTACATACGCTTTCCATTTTCTTAATATCATCCTCAAACTTTTTGTGTTGTTTAGCTTGTTTGGCACTATTCTTATGGATTTCTCGAAGTCGCTTGCTGACATTCTCTTTGTGCTTTTTCCCACTCTCATGGAATTCGATGCTAGGTTTGTTGTCAGCAATCCAACATTTGCAAAAGTCGCAGAATTTTCTTCCTTGAGATTTCCAGTAATCCGCCCTGGAATCAGAATTCAAGTCATATATAAAAGAAACATTAACATCAATAGATAATATTTTAGATCGTACAGAGTTGTTGATATTCTTTATAATTTTGTAAGATTATTAACGCTTACCAACGTTGAAATTTAAAGAAATCAGGATCACATGAGAATACCAGTATTTGTCTTATATCTTATGTGGTTCCTGCATAGCTTGTTGAAATCTTATATTTTTGCTTTGAGCCCAAGAACAGATAAATAAACTACCGAACAATGTTCATATTTGTAACCACCGCATAACTATTGCATCCGCAACAGATTATGGGGATGAGAAAGTGGGATCTAAAAAGTTAATCGTTCAGGAAACATTTCTCCGAACTGGGTGTACCGAATCGTTTCAAACTTTACAATGTAAATATGGAGGCTATAAGAAAGGTCCTGGCAACCATGACATTTTATTTTTAATAAAACATTTTGAAAATATCTGCAAACAAATTAAAAAAAAATGAAATTTCATGGTTGTCCGGACCTTCCTTATCGCCTCCACGTTCACGTTGTAAAGTTTGAAATGATTCGGTATACCGAGTTCGGAGAAAAGTTTCATAAACGAAACCTCCTTGACACCACTTTCACATCATCTTAACCAATGCCTGGGAGGTCATGTCGCGTCAAATATAAAACCAATGTACTAATATTAATTGGTTTACTAGCAGACACGAATGTCGTCTTGCAGATATGATGTCACTAGTGTATGCCGAGAAGACGTTCCGTCCGAATGAAGTCCACCGCGGTATAATATTAGTGCATAGAATATTGCATTACTGCAATATTGAGTTGTGAATATATTTATTTATTTATTGGCAGAATATTTCATTGTTACATATAAAAGCTATACATACATGGTATCTTATCTAATTTCAGCACTTTAAATATTTCGCTTGTTTTATATGGTACAAAAAAAGTCAGAGGGAAAAACTGTTTTCTTCAGAGGGTCCAACATTACGATAAGAACGAAATTATTCTCGTCATATTATCCAAATTTTTATTTATCTTACGCACGGCTTATCACTACGCACTACACGTATTGCTGAAACTCACTTCCATTTCTGGGTCAATTGCAGAACCACACCTGCTGGCGATCAACAGCCTCGTGAAAGAACTCTCTTTCGGAAACACCACCCAAAACTGGGAAAACGGCAAGATCGGGATGGCCTTAGCCAGACTAGAAGAAGAGGCCCACAGCATCCAGGTTCAACAACAAAATAAAATTCATCACCAACTCACGACTTACCTTCCGGTAGGAATTTCAACACCCACGTTCATCATCGTCCTTGCGGTAGGCGCTTACCTCATCCGCCGACGAGGCCGCCACACAAGGTTACATCACCGCACAGCCCCAGAACCACCAAGGGAACCTCCAACAATTACCAGGACGATCCCTCTCAACCCGTTCATATCAAATCCTATCTCGATTGCGTCACCGCCTCCCTCAACGAATAGAATCATGGCTCTTCTGCCATTCGGAGGGTTAGATGTAGAACACTAACCCTGACTAACACGCCGAACCCTGTAATACCCGATCAACCATGCCACTTACAAGATGTAGGAAAGGGGAGAAAATTCCATCCAGGTAACATTCAGCATCACGAAAGTACATGGTCAATCGAAAAGGTCAATCGAGTAAGTTGGCAACCCCAGGTCGCAACCCGCGAAAGCATCCTCCATTGGGTGATGTTTCATCTAAGACGGGAGATGTTACGTGGGCACCCTCCGTACCTTAACCTAAGGACAAACCCATTTTCCGATCATCGAAAGCTAGTCATGGAAATCCGAGTACGGAAACGCAATTGGGAAACTCTTGCGAAAGGATCCAACACTACATCACCTGACACCACAAATTCATCGGCCAAGACGACTCCAAAAATTATCGATCAACCGGGGACGAACAACCTGATGACTACATGACGTCGTATCGGCCTTGCGGCCGACCGCATCTAGAGGTGAATCCTCCCTAGCGGTCCCCCCATTGCTGGGGGTTCTACTCCTTACCCCACCAAGCAACTCCACCGCCATGGGGGCCCGAAGGCCCAGGACGGGCTGGAAAAACCCGAATGATCCGGACCGATCGTTCAAACCCCGGGGAGGCGCTTGCCGGGTTGGGGCCTCCGCGACGCACTCCCCGAAGGGAGGCCGCTTGACCCCACCCGTTGCCCGCGGGGAACCTCGAGGAGGTCCCTCCCCTGCACCCGCGTGGTGCGAGCATTAACCTGATGACTACACAACGCGTCAGTACGACCCAGAAGCGCCACTCTCGTCTAGGCCCTAGGACTTCCCACTAATTGGAACACCCTACCAATAAAACCAGCCTTCAGTTCAGTTAGTTAGTCCAGTTAGTCTCTTGAAGTTAAGTCAACGTCGACGTCCGTCGACAGCCTCGAGTGGAGTTGCTGGTCCTCGGTACTTCGTTCCTAGCGAGTCAGAGACCAAAACCGCCGGATTCGCTGTCGAAGACCATCTACCCTGCGAGCCGCAGTAGTGCCATCCGGTACTCCAGCGGTCCCAGCGCACCAGGTCAATGACAGACAGCGGCACTACGACTTACGTTCGACGGGAGGCTTCTAGGAGACCTCCAACCCAAGGGCACGCCACGGGTCGAAGGTGTCCACGCGCAGTCATTCGGCTGGGTCGATCAAAGGAGAGTGTCACCGAATTCGGCCGCTGATCAAGCCAGGTAGAGGATCTTTCGCAAACTTGACTCATCTTCATTCCATTCTATTTTACTTCTTAACCCCTCATTCCCGATCAAACCGAATTCTAACCATTATCGCGATTTCCATGCCTTGCTCCGGTTAACTGGATAGATTATGATCTCATTAACTTCCTTCGAACAGCTGAGCGCGAAATTTCAGCATCGCGAAATAGATTAGTCACACGTAGACCACCATTTTAACAGCAAAGAATTCCCGCGTCAGCACTCTGGCGTTCAGTAACCTACCGCTGCTAAAGCGCGCTATCGCGAGATCCGAACCGCCGCGACGCGGAAGTATAATAACCCCGAGAAAAATTAGGTCAAGGCACCTCGGTTGCCCCTCCCAGCTGATTATAAACCAAACCTCGCTGACGAATAAATGCATCCATCATAGCACACTAGCCCACATTGCCATTCATTCCAACCCCTTTTCAGCCCTCACTTCCTTATATCCCACCAGAGGAGTTGATCTAGCCGCTCGGATCAATCTCCTCGCAAGATTAGAATACTCGTTACGCGCAAAATTCAGGTAATCCCTACCCGAATCTCCCCGGCCTCGCATCCGCTCGGCCGCCATGTAACATTTTCAAGGCTGTTACCTGACGATCGAGGTGCAGACGAGGCCGACTCGATTTTTGCTTTTCTGGGCCGGAACTCCGGAAGGTCGGTGTAACGTGGATAATTAAGAAAGGGAGAAGATTATCCGAGCAATTAGACCATTCCGTTTAGGGGAAGTTAGGGAAAGAGGTGGAGATACGAAGTGTTTTGTAAGCGAGATTCGACTACACATCGAATGTGTATGAGTATTTGAGTTGTTTCATGCAATACAAACATGAGAGTAAATTAGCGGTTTTTGAGTGAATGACGTGAGAGGTCGGATGTTGCGATAAGCCGGTTGCGGGGTGTCGACGCTGGATCGTTCAAGCGCGCGAATCGATGACTATGAGGTCCTCATGACCTACTTGTGGGACCCATTAATTCCTGTTTTGTTTCGACCTGTGATGAGCGTAACACCGTGATATATTTTAAGGTGATGTGACAGAAGCATTGAGAGGTCTCGTTTAAGAAAGTTTTCACCAAACTGGATGTACCAAATAGTTTCAAACTTTACAACCTGAATTTAGAGACTATAAGGAATGATTCAGCACCCATAAAATTTCAATTTTACAAAAACTGACGGTTTTTGGGTCTTGGTTTTGATGGAGACCTCCTGGATCTAGGTGATAGTGTTATAAGGTGTTATAATTGCACTTTTGAGCAATCCGGAGTTGCAGTCTTTAGTCGGTCAGTCACTGCTGGGTCAGCTTGTTCTAGTGAGTTGGCTTGTGTAAGATGAATTTAGAACTCTCTCCGTAGGATCTTTCCAAATGTCGCGATATATTCTTCAGGTTTCCATGACCGTTTTTCGGGTATCAGAAAACTCGGTAGAATTTCGCGCTAAATATATTTAAAATCGTGCACAATACCGAATACTTAAGGTCAAAGTTCAGCACTTCAATTCGATGAATATTTATTTCTCAAATAAGAGAGCTTATCATGGACCCATGTTTGGCATAATGAAAGTACGTTCCGTTTTGTAGAGCCATGTTTCCCCATTCAACGTGTTCATTATTGTCTTCTGCCCGTATTCCTTTCGTCTCACCCTTACTTCTTTCGTCGCATCTGCATTCCGCGCAAGTTCCCTAGAGTTCTCGCAAGTGTCGCCATGGTAGACTCATCACACAGAGTACGACGCGTGAACGCGTAGAGGTTGAATAACCAACCAGAATTGCGCTGAATCTCGTGGTCACTTCCGTTGCACTTCTGATTGGTTTTCATTCTCGACGTGTTGACACGCCGTGTTGTGTTGCACACAACGCGTTCAGTGAGACTCCGGCCATAAAGTATTGTTTCCTCTGCATCGCGACAAACGGATTAGTAAACATCGATGACATTTTGAGGTAAACATATGTGCCGTTTCATCTGTATCGTGAAAAATGGATGATTTGCAGGTTATTAACCATCAGCATCATTTTGACGTTAAACATTCAATTTCCACGTTATATATTCACGACAGTTCTTCAGGTTAGACATTGATGGAATTTTTAGGTTAATTATCACTATCAAAACCGTTCAGATTAGGGACATTACCGATATTTAATATAGATTCATATTCACAGTTTTGTTTCGATTGACACTTTTACTTTCGTACTTTACTGGTATCGTCTTTTCATAATTTTAACATTAATTGACACTTTTAAATTAGTGATTTCTGGTATCGATTCTTTCAAACAGATACTTTACTTCTATTTATGTTAGATTATACAATTAATTCATAACTTTCTATTAATAGCGAATAGTACTTACATTGATATTTTTAATATGGTACTTTGCTGGTATTATTCTCTCAGAGTATTACCGCCTTTCCTTTTTTTCTCGGGGCAGAACGGCCTGTGTATAAAACCGCTGAACACTGAGCAAGAGTCGCAGTGCGAAAATTCTACGTCTTCTGCGATAAAATTACTTTAATCTTTTGTTTTTTCGTTGACGGACGAAAATTAGAACGAACTCCGACGTACGGCCGTGTTTCTGATTAGAGTTTCGAAGTTCACTTTACCCCTCAGTGTCGAGTCTTAATTTCGGAAAAGTATGAAATTCCCTTCTCACACCTATAAATTAAAGTTCGGTCTCACGTGTCTTAAAGGCCGATATTGCCATTGACACGCTCTTCTTACGCAACCCACACGCGTAAATTATCCGTTCGATTTTCCTTTGTGAAGACCGTGAGTTTCGCATGTTATATCCAAATCGTCCCTTTCGCGGCTACATTCGATTAAATCCTTTTTTGCATTAATATTCTCTTTCATTTCATTTGTGTTGCGCTTGGAAGGATTTCAGCTCGCGAGTGCTTTAAAGTAATATTCCTCGGTTCCTTGTCTCCCTGATATTTTAATATTAAAGCCGTCAAATCACGCGTTTCATTATCTAAGTTCCTACCGAGAGTCTGCGTACTATTTCCTTCCCTGAATTTGTTCTAAGGCCCTCGCGCGAACTATCTCCTTTAAGTTTGTGAGTTCCGAAATCTAAAGTTCAGGATGCGTCCTGTTTAACTAAAGTTCCTCGCGCGCTTCGTGACAATCTTCCCGATGCCGCGTACTTTTCCGAACGTGCTTCATTTCCCCTGTCTTCGTTCAGTATTTCTGTCCGGCGATCGATTACAGTTTCCAGACGACATTTTATAAACATTGTCTCCCGCGCCCTCTGCGGCGCGGTCTCTTTGGTGTTCTGTTTAACAACTCTTGTGTTTTGTCCAACCGGCGAGCGTAATTTATCCCTATAGTCCCTTGCTTCTACAATTCTGTACCATTTATCCCTTACTTTAGAGTCACTGTTCCTTACCTACAATTTCCTGCTATTATTTAATTCCTAGCAACGCGTTCGTATGGCGTTCATCCCTGTCCGAATTAATGTCGGGTTCCCGCCTCCCAGCGATTTATTAAATTCTCTTTCTCGCTAATTGTTGGAAAACCCGTTTCGAGTTTTCGGTCTTTTCTGAATCATTGTCGGGTATTAGCCATTTGGCTCGTTGTTAAAATTA